AATCAACAATGATGAAGGCAACAGTGACGAGAACCGAACGATGCTGGCACTGGTAGTATTCTTCATGCATGTGTCTGTCTCTGTCTGTGTGTGTGTGTGTGCGTGCGTGCGTGCGCGTGCGTGCGTGCGTGCGCGCGCGTGCGTGCATGCGTGTGGGTGAATGGAGCGGAGTGGAGTGGATCGGAGACGGAACGTGCAAGTGTGTGTGTGTGTGTGTGCGTGTGTGAATGCTCGACGAATCCCATGGAAGTAGCAGCACCAACCGGACCCACATGGGAAAGCAGTAAAGTTGGAGCCTTGTCTGTCCGGTGTTTGGGAAGCGAGACGTTTCAGTCGCGTGTGTCTGCAGTTGAACACGAGCAATACAACAACACAAAGAATCTAAGAAGCAACCAATATGCACACATAAATAGAAACGAAACAAATCTGAGTTTTTTGTGGTCGGGGGTGGTGTTTTGAGTTACAGGCGTTGCCCCACACGCGAAGAATCCTGCTCGAGTCTGCACAGCCATCAGGGGATCAGCTGAGATTGCTTTTTCCCTTAGTCGTGCTGCCGGTGCGTCTGTGCGTGCTTGGTTCGGCCACCCCGCACCCCAAGCCCTTTCTCCGAGCCAGTGCCCCCAGCTTAGTACCCATGTGAGGGATCACAGGGGGACGAGCTTCTGTTCCCGAGAAGTGGGCTGTCTTGCCAAGTGCCCAAATCCAACCCAAGTCGCGCAGCTTGTGGGGGCGGGTGCATGGAGGTTCGGGTGGCAATGGGTGGCACTTTCCCGTGCTTGGATTGAGGGACTCGGAGCGTCGAACTCTTGCCGGATCTCCCCGATGACGAAAACGGGGGGGAAGACATGGCGGGAGGGAACGTTTCTGTTCGGCTGGAGTGCGCCTCAGACCATCCACTCACCCACTCACTCACTCACACATGCATGCGTGCCGATACATATTGAGACATATGGACCGACATATGCATATGTACACCGAGTTGTCTGCTGCGTATGTACGGACGAACAGCTAGGACCGAAATCACACCTACACACATGGAACCCTACGACTGCTGCTGCTACTGCTACTACAACAACAACAACTACTACTACTACTACGACGACGACTAGTACGACTACGACTACTCAGTGTGCTGGAAAGTGGAACCGTCAAGCCAGCAAAGATGACGATAATCTTGGTCATCTTGGTCGGCCGGGGAGGGGGGGGGCAAAATGACGAGTCGTCTTGGTAATCTTGGTTACAAGTGGTGCAATGGTCTGGGTATTTGTGCTTAAAGCCAAGAGGTGCAAGTAGTGCAAGATTACCAAGATTACAGTCATCTTGACCCCGCACTAAGATAAGATGACCAATATTACCGACATGACTCGTCAGAATAGAAATAGCGCTTCTCGATTTCTCAGCATAATGAGCTACTATTGCTGCTGCTGCTGCTGCTGCTACTACTACTACTACTACTACCACTAGTACTACTAGTACTACT